TCAAGACAATTATCAGTAGGGTGTTGCTATGTCCACACCTTTTGTATTAAATGGACAATTTTGCACTTAAAGTGGCCTTGCATTCTCTCTTTTGATTTTTGAGGTTAAAATTATCAATTTAACATTAATAGAGTGGATATAGCCAAAATGGAGGTGAATATAGCAACAACCTTATCAGTACTAACTTCAAAAAAGGAACATTTTCGGTCTTCATTTTCATTTCCAAATTTGCATGTTTCCCTCATAATATTCTACTTTCTCATTTTTAGATAAGCACTAGAGATACAAACAGAATAAACACTTGCAAAAAAAGAAAACAAATAAGATGCTTTCAGAATGCACAAAGTGGACATGACGCCATTGTTCGTGAAAACCACATTCAGTAAAAGCGACATTAGAGGTCAGGATTAGAGAAGACAATACATACAGATTGTACAGCCAAAAACACAAGGAAAATATCCCTAGCAACAAAGAGCCTGAACTTTATATTCCTCCAACTGTTGTCCTCTAGCTCCACGACTCGAAGATGAAACTGAGCTTTGCAAGTAGTACAATGTGAAAATGCAAATCCCTCCTGCATCAGGATACATCGGAACTCATCATTTCATACTTAATCATACACATTGGACAATAAAAGATGGGAAAGTTGCTATATTCACTTTGACCGATCGCCAGTGATCAAGACAAGCACGATGCACAAACTGCTGGGTGCCTTTGCACATGCATGGTGATATCAAGTCATCATCTGAAGATGGGACAATACGAGCAAACGAATACTGTTTTAATGCAAGTAATAGTACTATATGCACACCCACAACAAAACATAATTGACCAATGAAAATTACTAATAAAGGACTATATGTCCTGTTAGAGCACATAGTACAAGCACTAACAATACATATAAACATGACAAAACAGAATTGAAGAGACATACAAACAATGATGAACAGAATTAAAACAAACTCCCAACTTCATCCAAAAAAAGTAAAGACCAAACTCAGTGTCTCTTACTACAAATCAATAACAAGAATAACACTGCTTGGAGTACAATTGGAAACCCAGAAAGAATTATACTCTCTCTCTCCCAAAAGTATGTTCTTAATTACCATTCATATAGTCACACTTTATCTTCTCTATTTATCATTCACGTTACTCATTTGATAAAATAATATACACTTATTTGGTAAGAATTTTGAGATGGTTTCTAATATATAAATTTTATTTTTAATATTACACCAATAGTTTTATAAACTGAACTAGCATTGTAAAATGAAACACAAACATATTTCGGAGAGGGAGGGAGTAAATAATTTTTTTAAAAAAATAACTGATGCCATCTGTATGTATATAAACAACATAAATATACTCAGGAAAATATAAAACAAATTGATAATACCATCTTCCCCGTCGCACTCGAGGCAGATTCTGCAGCAAGGCAGCGAACCATTCTCCGAATCTTCGACCTTAATCTCGCTGGAGCTCTCCGGCGCAGAGGGGAGCGATGGTGTCAGGTCAACACGGTGGTCGTTTAGCAGAGGGTCGGAGTCGCTGGGCTCAGGCCCTGCCGCCGGCTCCAGCTGTACTTCCCGTTCCATCGATCCTCCTACTCGTATATACATAAACTAAGTAAATCCGCGCCCAGAACACCAAAAGCCCTATATTTTTTTAGGGGAATTGTGTATCTCACTGTAGATCGCTCATCAATGATCAATTCACCAAGTTAAGAATCCAGAGTTTTACTGAAAATGAACGAAAAATGGAGAAGTTTCGAAGGCGAATTTAAAAGAACAGCAAAGAGGGTTATGGAGATAATTGCAAGGATCGAAGAAACGGGTGAAGCACGCCGATGTCGAGATTGAACCCGACGACGTCAACTGAGAAGGTTTTATTTCTTTCAGTTTTATTCTTAGGAAAGTGTACCCCAAACATCCCACTCCCTCCATCACAATAAAAAAAACAAGAAAAATTCAAAAAAAAATTAAAAAATAAAAACAAAATAAAATGAATGGTAAAGAAGGGAATGGTGTACATTTGGGTACACATTTGAAATTTTATGTGATTTAATTTTATAAAATTGAATTCTTCTAATTCCAATTTATTACTAATTCTAAATCTATATAATTTTGTGTTACCAAACACCAGAATTAGAATTAAATTTTTTAATTCTAATTTCATAGTTTGAATTCCGTGTATCGAACAGAGTCTAAGGGTTGGTTCATTTTATTATTTGTTCTTATTAAAATCGGACTAGATCAAATAAAAATACGGAGTAGTTTTATACTCGTATATAATTACGATCGAATCAATTCAGACCAGATCTTCATAATATCAAATTTGGCAAAAGGAACGCACTCTTAAGTTACTTGTAGTCTTGTACACTGTACACCAGAGGTGTGCACCGATATTTTAATAATTCACACTAGTGCAAAATGCAAGTGTAAAATTTTTCTTAACATTTTATGTTGACCAACATAATATCGGTGCACACCTCTACTCACAACATGGGTACGCCTTTGCCCTTTCACATCATAATACGGAGTACATAGCTTTATTTTTTAAAAAAATCGATTAAACTAGTGACTCATCCCAATTTGATCTCAAACTCAGCCGAATAGAAATAAAAATGTGTACATATGACAACCAGTTTCGTGTTTAGTTTTACTCTGTAATATTTTGAAAAAATTATCTGATGGAAACCGCTTTTTCGGGGCACCGACCCGATAAATTCGGTACACGGTCGGCACCGCACCGAATAGCGAAATCCAGAAAATAAATAAATAAATAAAGCGGAGAGAAAGTATTTATACGTGGAAACCCAAATCGAAAGAAAACCACGGGCCTTTTTAGGCGGTGCCATGCCAAAGGGGAAGGACTTTTATTAATCTCGGGGGAATTTACATATACATCGTTGTAGGAGCTTGGAGCCATTAATGGAGCTCCAAGCTAAAAGAAGAAGAAGAATGAAGAATAGTAGTGAAACTTGTAGGAATTTGCCTTGGCCTCCCCTCCCTTCTCTTCGTAACTTCATTTAAAGGGGGGAAAGAGAATAATTGGTGGAGATAAGAAGGGGCATTGTCCATGTGAAGCCCATGTGCGGCATGTGGTTTTCACGTGGTAGTGTTCCACGGATCCCACCAAATGTCTCCACATCACTTCAAATATATTCTTTTGTCCATATATTTCTGGTTCTGTCTTGAATTATTTATCTGATTTATATCTTGGGCCAGATAAAATTGGACTTTCTTGTACTGTTCAAATAATATTGGATTAGGAAAAATCCCTAATCCATCACATGCCCCCCTAGTTTTGAGTCTGTCTTGGGGAACGAGACAGATTCAAAATTATATGACTCGGTGGGTTGCCTCATGGGATAAAACTTTTCTTGGAACCTCGACAAGAGGACTTTCTTTTTTTGGAGGGCCTCGTTACATCGTGGGTAAGGATTTAACTTAGTGTCTCTTGAAAGAAAACTTTTCTCGGGGATTTGGTGCCTCTTGGAAGAGGACTTTTCTTAGGGATTTGTGCCTCTTTAGAAGAGGGCCTTCTCGGGACTTTGTGCCTCTTTGGAAGAGGACTTTCTCGGGTCTGTGTCTCTTGAAAGAAAACTTTTCTTGGGGATTTGGTGCCTCTTGAAAGAGGACTTTTCTTAGGGATTTGTGCCTCTTTAGAAGAGGGCCTTCTCGGGACTTTGTGCCTCTTTAGAAGAGGACTTTTCTTTCTTTTTTTTAGTTCCTCGGGAAGAGGACTCGGTGCCTCTTGGAAGAGGACTTTCTCGGGACTTTGTGCCTCTTTAGAAGAGGACCTGCTCGCGACTTTGTGCCTCTTTGGGAGAGGACTTTTCTTTCTTTTTTTTTTAGTTCCTCGGGAAGAAGACTCGGTGCCTCTTGGAAGAGGACTTTCTCGGGACTCTGTGCCTCTTTAGAAGAGGACCTTCTCGCGACTTTGTGCCTCTTTGGGAGAGGACTTTTCTTTCTTTTTTTTAGTTCCTCGGGAAGAGGACTCGGTGCCTCTTGGAAGAGGACTTTTCTCGGGGATTCGTTGCCTCTGGGAAGAGGGCTTTTCTCGGGGCTCTTTTTTTAATATTCTTTGGGAGCCTCTAAACCCCCACCCGATATCTATTTGACGGTGGTTGGGCGCTCCGCTCTTATTGAATTATAGACAATCTCCGTCTACCTTTCTCTTCGTCCATGTCCCTCCAATTGAGGGGGGGCCTACTCTAATCTCTTTCATAGGATTCCTTCTTTTTGGGTAGCTTGTTCCTAATGGGCTGGGCTTCAGCCCATCCTTAAGCCCCAATCCTTTTCCTTTTCTTATCTTTCCTCAATCTCGGTACGGGAGTCTATGACTATCTCCAGTAATCTGATCACTTAACTTGATCTAATTACTGACCTCTGCTTTCTATTCTTTTACATTATTACTTTTATCAACTTATACAACTCGGAACGGACCACCTGAGGCTTGATCCGTCCATNTTTTTGGGTAGCTTGTTCCTAATGGGCTGGGCTTCAGCCCATCCTTAAGCCCCAATCCTTTTCCTTTTCTTATCTTTCCTCAATCTCGGTACGGGAGTCTATGACTATCTCCAGTAATCTGATCACTTAACTTGATCTAATTACTGACCTCTGCTTTCTATTCTTTTACATTATTACTTTTATCAACTTATACAACTCGGAACGGACCACCTGAGGCTTGATCCGTCCATGTGAAGGACCTATGAAGATGGAGAGGTCCACTGAGGCCAAATCCGTCCATGTGAAGGACCTATGAAGATGGAGCGGTCCACTGGAGGCCAAACCCGTCCATGTGAAGGACCTATGAAGATGGAGCGGTCCACTGGAGGCCAAATCCTTCCATGTGAAGGACCTATGAAGATGGAGCGGTCCACTAGAGGCCAAATCCGTCCATGTGAAGGACCCATGAAGATGGAGCGGTCCACTGGAGGCCAAATCCGTCCATGTGAAGGACCTATGAAGATGGAGCGGTCCACTGGAGGCCAAATCCGTCCATGTGAAGGACCTATGAAGATGGAGCGGTCCACTGGAGGCCAAATCTGTCCATGTGAAGGACCTATGAAGATGGAGCGGTCCACTGGAGGCCAAATCCGTCCTTGATGATGTAATTACTACTCCCTTCTAAAATGATCTTCCCAATTTAGTTTATGAGGTTTGACTAAAATTATTTTCAATTCAATTTCTTTGATTTTTCGGTCGGATTCGGATATTATATGCTTCGGTCAGGTCGGAAAAAGTCGGATTCGGATAAAATTGCCATCCCTAGGTCTAATTCTCACCTAATCATATCCTGATATCCAAAACTATTCCTTAAGTATATTTTAACATTTTTATACACACAAAAAATATTTTTAAGTACAAAGGTATTTTTAGTCTAAAAAACTAAAATTTAGATTTTTAAAATTCTTTTATAAACAAGTATTTTTTTCAATAAAAATGTATTTAAATTTTTTTTTTAAAGTATAAAAAATCAAACTTTTTGAGCTGTAACATATGTGAGAAGAAGATACTGATGATGTAATTACTACTCCCTTCTAAAATGATATTCCCAATTTGGTTTATGAGGTTTGATTGAAATTATTTTCAATTCAATTTCTTTGACTATAGATGTAAATTTAAAAACAAAAAATTAAATATTTTAAAACTACATCAAAAGTTCTACAAAATAGGACGTGACATGATTATATTATTTAATCAAATAACTAACGAATAAGGTAAGAAAAGCGATTAAAGTTTGATCATGTGATTAGTAATTGAGAAAATCATTTTAAAACAGAAAGAGTATATTCAAAGAAAGTCAAATGTTAGATTTTTTCGAAAATATATCTTTTTCCATCTCTTAAAATATGAAACAATTTTTTTAGCTAAAATACTATTTTTGTTTAAGGAATTATATCAAATTTTAGGATTCGTGCAACAACTGAATTCAATAGATAAATTCAAATTCAAGCTCCAAAAATTCATATTAAACACACAAAAATACTGATTAAACGTTGACGAGGCTAGGATTGAAAGAATGGAGTCATTTGCCTGTGTATCGCCGTATACCTAAATGTGCCGGACGCGTGATGCAAAGTGTTCCGTCCTTTCTTCGGATGGTGTCTCGCGAGTAAACGCAGGTTTTGGTGAATCAGAATGAGTGGATGGATATGGCCTTATCCCTTCCTTTTCTATTTAAGTTCATTTTTTTTAAATTTTTACTACGGAGTACCTAAAATGTAATTCAAGTTTTACCCATTGAGATATTAAGTTGGTCTAATTAGGGATGACAACGGGTCGGGTTTGGTTCGGATATACCTTTACCCGAAATTAACCCGAAATATTGATCGGATATTTTTTTTTGCCTGAACCCGAACTGTCAGGTATAAATTCCTACCCGAACCCGAACCCGACTGCCTAAAACGAAACCCGAAACCACAACCGAACCCGAGAATTTGACAAAAACTTAACCTAACCCGACCTAAAAACTGACCGACCCGACTAACCGACCCAATCGACTGACCATACCAACATCCTAATAAATCAATTTTTTGAAATGATTTTTATTGAAAATGATTTGTAATTGGCTACTGAAATTCGAATCAATAACTGTTGGAGGAAGAGATAGAGTGTATCTGTGCGGTTGCCAATGAAGAATGACAAGAATTGCCATTGTCCACTTTGGTTGCCGAAGGAGAATGAGAAGAATCGACGGATTCGCCGATGTGTTCGCCGGTAGGAGCGCTGCCGAGAGGAGATGTGTTCGCAGATTTGTTTGCCGGCTGCCTAGGGTTCTAGAATCGCTGAGATAGAACAACCGTAAGTCAGTAACTCCCTGTATGTAGCTTTGGACTTTCAATTGAAAAAGGTTTTTTTTAATATTTTAAAAAGGCCTTTTATTTCGGGTTAATTATCGGGTCGGTCGGGTACGCGTCGGGTCGGTCAAATTTAATTACCGAAAACCGACCCGACAAAAGTCAGGTTCAGTTTTAAAATCTTCGGGTCAGTTTCGGATATTAATTTTTTCGGTCGGATTCAGATATTATATGCTTCGGTCGGGTCGGAAAAAGTCGGATTCGGATAAAATTGTCATCCCTAGGTCTAATTCTCACCTAATCATATCCTGATATCCAAAACTATTCCTTAAGTATATTTTAACATTTTTATACACACAAAAAATATTTTTAAGTACAAAAGTATTTTTAGTCTAAAAAAATAAAATTTAGATTTTTAAAATTCTTTTATAAACAAGTATTCTTTCAATAAAAATGTATTTAAAAACATTTTTTAAAAGTATAAAAAATCCGACTTTTTGAGCTGTAACATATGTGAGAAGAAGATACTCATGATGTAATTACTACTCCCTTCTAAAATGATCTTCCCAATTTGTTTTATGAGGTTTGAATGAAATTATTTTCAATTCAATTTCTTTGATTATAGATGTAAAATTAAAAAACAAAAAATTAAATATTTTAAAACTACATCAAAAGTTCTACAAAATAAGACGTGACATGATTATATTATTTAATCAAATAACTAACGAATAAGGTAAGAAAAGCGATTAAAGTTTGATCATGTGATTAGTAATTGAGAAAATCATTTTAGAACAGAAAGAATATATTCAAAGAGAATCAAATGTTAGAATTTTTTGAAAATATATCTTTTTCCATCTCTTAATATATGAAACAATTTTTTAGCTAAAATACTATTTTTGTTTAAGAAATTATATCAAATTTTAGGATTCGTGCAACAACTGAATTCAATGGATAAATTCAAATTCAAGCTCCAAAAATTCATATTAAACACACAAAAATACTGATTAAACGTTAACGAGGCTAGGATTGAAAGAAGGGAGTCATTTACCTGCGTATCGCCGTATTCCTAAACGCCGCCGGATGCGTGATGCAAAGTGTTCCACAGCCCTGGTCCTTCCTTCGGATGGTGTCTCGCGAGTAAACGCAGGCTTTGGTGAATCAGAATGAGTGGATGGATATGACCTTATCCCTTCCTTTTCTATTTAAGTTCATTTTTTTTTAATTTTTACTGCGGAGTAATACGGAGTACCTAAAATGTAATTCAAGTTTTACCCATTGGGATATTAAGTTAATCTAATTAGGGATGGCAACGGGTCGGGTTCGGTTCGGATATACCTTAACCCGAAATCGACCCGAAATATTGATCGGGTATTTTTTTTAGCCTGAACCCGAACTGTCGAGTATAAATTCCTACTCGAACCCGACTGCCTAAACCGGAACCCGAAACCGCAACCGAACCCGAGTATTTGACAAAAACCTAAACCTAACCCGAACTGAAAATTGACCGACCCGACTGACTGACCCGATCGACTAACCATACCAATATCCTAATAAATCAGTTTTTTGAAATGATTTTTATGAAAAACGATTTGTAATTGGCTACTGAAATTCGAATCAATACCTGTTGGAGGAGGAGATAGAGTGTGCTCTGTGCGGTCGCCGATGAAGAATGACAAGAATTGCCGCTGTGCACTGTGCTTGCCGATGGAGAATGAGAAGAATCGCCGGATTCGCCGATGTGTTCGCGGGTAGGAGCGCTGCCGGCTGCCTGTGGATCCGAGAAACCGAGAGGAGATGTGTTCGCAGATTTGTTTGCCGCTTGCCTAGGGTTCTAGAATCGCTGAGATCGAACAACCGTAAGTTAGTAACTCCTTGTGATGGGTGTATTTCACCCTTGACCGGTCAACGGTCAAGACCGGATAGTTGACCGGTCAAAGAAGTCAAACTTGCAAGAGAGGTCTAGATCGTCGGCGAAGGGATGACTGGTTGACCAGAAGGTTGACCGGTACGCTTGGGATAGTATACCGGTCAAGCTATACCGGCGGCTAATTCACCCTACAAAGATGGCCACGCCAGCCTGCAAGAACCAACCGGTGTAGTTCCTAGAGATGGGGAAGTGTCGGCAAGAGGAATCCAAAAGGACTTGGACTGTAGTGTTTGGAATTGCAAGGATGCTGAGGGAATATTTCCAAACCAGAACGCGACAAGGGTGCCACCCCCCGCGCAAGATGACAAGGCAGCTCAGAGCCAGTCACTTCACACCACGCCAGCAGCATGCTCCCACGTGGGCGCACGTGGTCCTGCTCCTCAGCCCAGTATATATACCTCTTGTAAACCTCAGAAATGGGGATCCGAATTCACTCTCTCAAAACTCCCTTGTAAAAGCACCCGTGCATTCTCCGTTATAATATAAATCGGGCTACAGGTGTTCCACCTAAAGTCCTACCGGTCAATTTGCGTGTTATTACCTTTCATACTTTGCCAAATCAAGAGAACTATTCTAGACCCGGTCTAGTATAGTTTGACCGGTCAAGTAATTTACACCATCATTTTTGGCGCCATCCGTGGGACCGTTAAGGTTTCTTCTCCTAAACACAAACCTACCCACCAAAACACCACTCGAGATGTCTTCCAGCCAACAAATCAACGCTACTTCCGCTCAGGTGCAGACCACCAACGAGGGAGCCAGCATCCCTGTGGCTGCTACCATACCGGTCATTTCAGCCCCGGTGTTGCCTCTGGGTCTGAGCTCTGTCCCGACGGCCAGCGTGATCAGTCCCTTCGTGACCCCCGTCCCTTCCGCTGGACCGAGGGTAACGTTCCCACCAAGCATGACTCAGTTCATGAATGACCCAGTCAACCTACAAGCCATCCAGGGCTTTGGCCAGGTCATGGCCATGTGCCAGCAGAACGGGGGGATGCCTTTCCTCCCTGGTATGTTCCCATTCGCCCTTCCAGGCGCGGGGACCATGCCCCTACAAGCTGCGATGGCGGTGACGTCGTTCTAGACGCCGATGCCACAACCATCACCTTTCCAGCCCCAGCTGGTCAGCACCATGGCCCCTGTCAACTTGGCCGGTGCACTTAATGCTGCAGGGCCGTCGCGTCCCCCGCAAGCTACGGATCCGCAGATCACTCCTAATGGTCATTGCGTCTCGATTGAGAGTGATGACGGCGAGTGGGACATCCCAAGGGCCCACAAGAAGAAGAAAGGAAAGAACATCCGGCCAGCGACCTCCCGAAACTCCGCCTTCGAAAGACTGGGGGATAGGGAGGAAGGCCAGAGGAAGTCAGCCAAGCAGAGGCTGGGGCAGAGTGTTGCCCATGTCAGCGCGTTCGCCCGGCTAGGCGAGGTGCGGGAGGCCGAGCCTGCCCGCACCCGGCGCTCCCGGTCTTACCGGCAGGAGCCAGCGAGAACGAGGGCCTCCCACCAGGAAGGGGAGGCAGAAAGCCAGCCCAGGTTACCGGTGGCGAACCGGTTAACCATCCCAAACTACCGCGTCCAGCAGATGGAGGCAAAGCTGGAAAGACTGGAAAAGAAGGTCGGGGAGAAGAAGGACCGGGACAAACCCCTGGCACGGTCCCCGTTCACCACAAGGGTCCATCTGACACCTTTCCCGCGAAAGGTCAAGATCGACGCCCCCAGATTCACCGGGAAGGAAGATCCGGAAATCCA